CAGCCCTCTGGGGTATCAGCTACTCCTCCCAGTTTCGTATCATCAGCAAGCTTGATGAGGGAGCACTCTGTGCCTTCATCCAGGTCCTGTTCCTAAATTGAACAGGACTGGACCAAGGACTGACCTCTGGGGGACACTGCTAACTACAGGCCTCCAACTAGACTCTGCACCGCTGATCACCACTCTGGTGATCCATGCCATCCAGCCAGTTCCTAATCCACCTCACTGTGCACTCATTTATCCCACACTTCCGGAGCTTGCCCAGGAGGATGTTGTGAGGGACGGTGTCAAAAGCCTTGGTGAAATTGAGATAGACGACATCCACCGCTCTCCCCTCATCTATCCAGCCAGTCATTCCATCATAGAAGGCTATCAGGTTAGTCAAGCATGATTTCCCCTTGGTGAATCTCTCCCAAAAGGCAGAGTTAACAACTCTTTTTTTTTTGGTCATGATGTCATGCAAATGCCATACAAAATTCAAAGAGACTGTAGGCAAAATGTAGTCATTTCTCTCCTTTTTCTGGGCAAACAGAGGGAGGAAAGTGGAGCTGTTATGTGATGCGTGTTCTGCTAGTGGGCTGCAGGCTTGGCACCCAGCAATGTGTCATTGCTGAGAAAGATCGTGCCTTTTGGGCCCTGAGATTTTTCTTAGAGAAGAGCGTGATGAATTTAAATAGCCCTTTGAATGCTGTTGCAAATTAAATGGGAAAGATATAGTTTGCTAAGGTCAGGTAAATTGCAGCAGGCTGTCCTAACTCAGACTGTCTTTTGATCTCAGTACAACTCTCTCACCCTAAGTCAAACAAGTCAGTGTTTTTCAATATATGAACTCCTAACTTTTGTAGTGGAGGCATCTTAGTTAAGGAACTTTAGGCCCACTGGCAAGATATTTTCTTTGTTATTACATTTTGTTAGTCCCTTAAAAGTAGCTTTGTGTCTCTCCCTGGGAGTCTGCAGGCAGCAGATTGGAAGCCACTCTGCATATATAAACTGGAGGTGAATGAAAGCTGCGTCATAGGAGGCAGGACCTTATCTGAAAGGAGACAGGGCAAATTCCTTGGAAGCTGGAGATGTGGACAGCATTACTGCTGCAGTGCACAAGCTCTTATAACTCCTGTCTGAGTCTAAAGATTTGCAATACTGTCACAGTCTGCTGCTTCTGACACTAGTAGCCTAACTCTTTATATCAATGATGAATTTTTTTATTTATCTTTATAATATTTTTTCATAAAAAGACCAAAAGAGACTACCTTACTGATGCTCGCAGAGACGCAGACAGTGGCCTAAAGATGTGCAAATTATCTCCATTCATTTTAATCTTATATCTTAAATGCAGACCCTTTGAAGCTTAGCTCAAGATGGAGGGAGGAATCGTAGGTTGTCCTATACAAGCTTGTTGACACAGTCCTAACTCACAGAAAGCTTATGGTTAGAAGAAATGGAGTAGCCCTTCCTTCATCTCCAAAACTTCAAACTGTAATATCCATTCAGAGTCAATCAACACAGATATTAACAGGGCCCTCTCTTATCTTTGGACCTTTAGCCACAAGGCAGACAAAACAGATACTGCTTACACCACATTGATGTCCTTCCAGTTTGTTCTTCAACTCATTCTTAACTGACCTGCCTCATAATGACAGCTCTTCTTCCCCGCTTTTGTTCATATTGAATTTGACCTGTCTGTGGAAGAAAGTAGCCTTCCTTTTCTCCAAATTTGCAATGTTCTGAGGTCACTGAGATAGTACTTTTGCTAAACTGTCTTTGAGGCTTTCATTCACTTCATGCTAATTGCTCTACTAAGCTGTTGTAGCCTGATTTGCTAGTGGAATTTTTTAGCCTGTATTACACCATCAGACTGTGACTTTCAAGAGCACATTTCTGGAATTAAGTGCCTGTGTTAGTGTAGGGGTTGATGAGAAATACAGAATACCTTTTGACCTCAACTCATTTTTAGGCTTTTTAGAAAGTCAAACAACTAATTTGTGGCTCTCTTGAACGCATTGTCCTTTGCTTTTTTTGCAGTTGTTTAAAAATTCTAGAAGCTTAAGAATTTAAAGAGTAGTTTAAAGACAGTTTAAATTTGAACTTAAGAAAGAATTTCAAAGTAAGAGAGTTTAAGAGGAGTTTAAATAATAAAATTTAAAGAGTTTTAAGAACTTTTTAGCTTGCTTGGAGAAGGGGATTGGATTAGATGATTGCTAAGTGTCCTTTCCAACCTAAATCTATGATTCCAAGTCTTATGAGAAAGTTTTCTGTAGCATCATAACCACATTTCATTCACAGCTAAAATAAGAGTCTGACTCCTTCTCTCCCCACACTTTTTAATCATTTCTTCACATCCTATGACAAAACTGTTACAGTTGGAATAAGGACACAGCATAGAAGTTAATGGGTTGAAAGTTGAATATTCAACGGAGATGGATTCGATATTGGCAGAAAAGCTGGAGAGTCAGGTAATTCATATTGATTGAGCCAAACTGTCACAGACTTTCATTAAGAATATTACATTAAAAATCAGAGGCATACATTTTGATTTTGCAGCAGATTCTTTGAGGATGTGAGACAGTTGCCTAGACTCATCACCCTTTCATTAAGTCCTGTATGTAACTGTTTTTATCCACTACTTTGAATTTAAAAGCTTCACTGGCTAATGAAGTCACAAGCATATTTAATAATCATTTTGTATTGTTAGCATAAATAATATCCTCATTTTATTTCCTATACCCATCAGCAGCAGAGTCTAAAAGAACCAAGTGTGTCTCCCTTGTTATTTTTTTGCACCACACTACATATGAGACTGCACAATCAATAATGCCCTGAAGAGCTCTGTCTGGAAGAAGCTGAGCTGAGCTGAGCTAAGAAATGCAGCAGTTGGCAGTTGGATTTTTTCCAGTAGTAGAGTTTATAGTTCTTTTTCTGCTAGAGATGTAAGTCAGTATTGAAAATGAAACTTTGACCTCATGTCACTTAGTTTTGAAATTAGTACATTTAGGACATGCACCATGACAGCTCATGTTTTTTGTTGAGTGATTATGGTAAGTGACATTTATTACAAGACCAGACATTCTTCTTCCTGTAGAGAATATTTCCTAAAGGTTTACATGCGTTTTAATGACTTTCTAGTCTAGTGTTCAAAACGTGCAAAATTGTTCATCTCTCTGGTGGCATTGCCTTAGGATAAATTGTTAATGGCAACTTGTCTAACTTAAGGACTTAAGTGCAATCATGTGTTTTCCACCAGCTTGGTGGAGGCAGATGTCCATGGAAAAAGGCTTCTAAAAGACAGTGTTAACATTAGCAATTCCTTGCATTTTTTTTGTTCTTATAAATCTTTATAGTTTCATCTCATCTTCTATTTCAATGTATTTAAGGATGTCTTGTAAATTCAATTCTTTAGTGTTTTCCATAGGTTTTTCCATGAAATGATACAATGAACACTTAAGTGATTATGTCTTCTGATAGATCAGTTTAGATCCATTTATTTCTCTCTCATGGTATTGTAAGTCCCATGAACTGTGTAAATGCAATAGTTGTAAATCCCATGTGGTCACATTAACAGGGCGGCGTAACACTGCAAATTATGTGGAGAAATAGGAAACAAGAAGGGACACATAGATATCATCTGCAGAACTTCCTAGGAGGAGATTGCTAGTATGCGTGTAGCTAAATGGCTGTAAACAGCTAGATACGAGCCAATGTTATCATCAGGGCTTGCTAGCTTGGACAAAGCAGTGGCTGTTTTCAGAGTGGAGCTGCGCAGGAGGCAGCTAAGTCATGGCGTGAAACCAGAGCCACCTTTAGCGCTCGCTGGCTCCATCTCTCAGACTCCACTGGTTAGCAGAGTGACCAGTGGGGCTGCACCTGGTCTGTAGGCTGGCAAGAGGCGGGAGAGGCTATAGGGTGGCACTGTAAGGACAGCAGGTTGTGGTGGGAGACAAGAAAAATGTTTAAATCTCATGCTCAGCCCATGGGACTTGACAAGCCTTGTAATATAGAGACTGAGGCCTTGTTTAAATTGCATCTTGACTTGGGGTGTGATGTAAAACCAAGAAGCTTAAACTTGTGCCAGTACCTATGCGGGTACTTGTTTCAATTTAATTTGATTAAACATTTAAAGCATAATGAAAAATGTGTTCTTCATATGGATGTAGAAAGAGGAGCTAAATTATTTTCCTTGTGGACAAATCTTCCTTTCCCAGTATTCATGTAACTTACTCTATAGTGAACATTTTTTGCATTTCATGCCTGATCTATAATGAGGAAACAAAGCTAGATGCATACAAAATTGAGCAAAAGTGTATATTAAAATACTTGTTGAACCCTACTGGATTCATACAAATAAGAACGGTGAGATCAAGTGGCCAGCCGTTCATGCTTTCCTCCCAGCCCTTATTTACCTGGAGTAGAAGCAGAACCTAGTATGAAGTCAGGAAAATCAACTGGATTTGCAAAGATAAATTAGAATTTGCAAAATCTCAGACTTAATGAGTGTTTAGCTCTAGTGTGGTCCTCCTGCATTTGACCAACCCATTGTGGCAGACCTTTACCCCAAGGTGCTCATGTCTTTGGAAAATGCTTCTGCATCTGGTCCTCCTGCAACACTATTTTCAGGGGCAGGTCCTGCTCTAGCATCTCCTATCATATCTTTTGAATATAAAAAAATGGAAGAGAGAAGCTGCCAACACATAGAAGTAGGTGGATCTTTTTCTAAAATGAGAAGAAATAAATCAAGGTAGGTAGAATAGGATAGATGAGGGTCCACGCACAGTGGTCCCTTTCAGTTTGGCATGAGTTGCATGAGAAGTTTAGGCAGGTTTGGGCTCTGGACTATTCAGATGCAGCTCTTGCCTGGCATAAGAGACTTTTCAGCTAGATAGGCTTTCAGCCCTGGATGCTGTATGGGACTGGCTCTTATAGGCTATATTATGTCATATTTGAAGTTGAAACTTGTTTCTCGCATCTGCCTAACAATGCATTTTTTTCTTCTGCCCTGGGAACAGTGGAGTGAAGTGCAGCAGATGATAAATGGTACTCCTGTCTACATGTACCAGGACTGCAGTGTACTTTCTGAGGGTGATACTGATCACTGGCTTCGCACAAATTGGATCTATCGGGGTGAGACAGCCTCCCGCATTTATGTGGAGCTAAAGTTCACTGTGAGGGACTGCAAGAGCTTCAGAGGTGAAGTGATCACCTGCAAAGAGACCTTCAATCTGTACTACATGGAATCTGAGCAAGATGTCGGGATCCAGTTTCGACGACCACTGTTCATCAAGGTCTGTAGTCCTGGGGGTGAAGACTGGTTCATATCTCTTAGCTTACACTAGGTATGTTCTGCTGGCTGGGAGAGGCCAAGGGAACCAGGATTGGAGGGTGGGGAAGGGAATGGATAGTGAATATTGTCCATACAACAAACTCTATTGCCAGTGCCTCACTGTTACACTCCAAGAAGTCATTGCTACAGGAGGCAATAGTTTTTATATGAGATCAGACCTCTGTTTCACTTAGCCATGTGTTTAACTTGACATGGTTATGTAAGGATTCTAAAGAATCATAACAATACTAGATTGTTACACCAATTTCACAAGTAGAGACCAAAGGAATTTGACTTGCCTTAAGTATTAAAGCAAGATTAGACCAGGAGAAGAATAGAAACCAGCCCAGCTGTGGGCTCCTGATCATTTGCTGTGATTGCTGTATGTTTTCTTTAAAACTGGAGCTGATAGCTTCTTATAATGTAATATTTCCTTGTGTAAAAGTATCTAGCTCCCCTCTACTTTACTTGGAGTACTTGCTGCCCTGATGTAGTGGCCTCTTGTCATAGAAACATCTAAATTCCAGAACAGGGAACTTCAGCTTTTTTGAGGATGAATTTCTAGGACCCATTTCTGTCCTAAAAGAATCCATACCCCTAAATTATTTGACTGCCTTTTCCTCTGAAGTTTAAAAGACATGTTATGAAAACAAAAAACTGCAAATGTTAACACAGGCTAACAGTAAGACTGTTGTATCTGGCTCTCTCCCTTCTCAGTACTCCGTCACCTCCCCTGCAGCTGAGGCCTACCGCATGAATTTGTGTGATACTTCCAGAACTCCTAAATATGCTCTGTGATCCCACTGCCAGATGCAGCTGCTGAGCAAATCCTTTAATCTTCTGTGGGGGGCAGGTGGTGTCAGGTAATGGGGAGTGGCCTACAGCAGAGCAGATCTGTTAGCAGTATGTCAGAGAAGGATGGCCTCACCACCTGCAGCCCTGTTCTTCCATATAACATGATGCTATGGAGGCATCGCCCTCCTATCACAGTGTATGAAGGATATCTCACTCATTTTTTTCTTTGCTGAGGCAGTGGGAATGTAAGAACTTGGAAACATTTTTTACTGTATATCTGTAGTGATAAAATGTGTTGAACACTGATGACAGTTGCCTTGGTGCAGAAGACCTGATCTACACCAAGCGCAGCCTGGAAACAGTTGGCTGTACTTCTCTGGTCAACTCAACACAACTAATGGTTGCTGTGATTTTACTGCACACAATTTGCAAACAAAGAAGAAAAACATAACAAAAGAGAGATGTACTGCCGATGTGTTCATTTCTGTTGAGGCAGTACTTAAAGACCTCTGAGATCAGAAACCCAGAAAATGGAATACTGAATAAGACCAAAGAATGACTGCATAGCAATTGAAATGAGATGGTGGAGAGTATGGAAGCAAGAGAGGAGAGGGAATCATTGATATGTTAACGCTTCTTCCAAGTGTAAAGAAAGACAGCATGCAGTGCATTGGCATTACAAATACTTGACTATGCAGACTCTTAAGGGCCTTAGCATAAAAATAGTTGGGCTATCTCCCAGCTGCTGCTGCCTGCTCAGATGCTGAAGTTGCTTTCTTTTTCTCTTCTGCATAGCTCAACACTGTGGCAGCTGATCGAAGTTTCACAAGCAGAGACATTGAATCAGGGGCTATGCAGCTGAACACAGAAGTGTGCCCCATTGGGAAGCTGTCTCGTCGGGGCTTCTACTTGGCTTTCCAGAACTCCGGAGCCTGTGTAGCAATGGTGTCTGTCCGAGTGTATTACAAGACATGCCCAGAGGCAGTGCGGGGCCTTGCCCGTTTTCCTGAGACCCTGGCCGGTTCAGAAGGGCTCACAGAGGTGCCTGGTACCTGCGTGGAGTTTGCAGCTGAAGAAATGGGATCTCCCCCCAGGATGCACTGCAGCACCGATGGGGAGTGGCTGGTACCAGTGGGTCGATGCCTCTGTGCTGTGGGGTTTGAGGAAGTCGACGGGAGCTGTGTAGGTGAGTGTGCACACAGATGCTGCTTAGGCCACGAGAGGGGTTCGAGGGAGCCAGAGATCTGTGTGCTGAAAGTGGGATTGGGGAGTTACTATGGTGTATCTCTCTCTCTTGCCAACCCTCTGTGCTTGCCAGACATTTCTTAAGGCTTTTCCCCCTTCTTTAGATTCTCTTTCTCAATTGATTTTCTCCTCCTGTGTCAGGTGTAAGAACTGCACACACCTCTCCACTCCCTCTTGGGCTTCATCCAGGAGCCTTCAGCTTTGGAGCTAGTTTCTGCGAGCAGTAACTGTGATTGACACTGACTCACTCAACAACTAGTTCCCAACCCTTAAATGGCAGCCGTGTTCTCCCAGGGCAGATGGGTCAGATGCATGGAAAAGTGCGTATGTTCAATGACTAAAAAGCTCAGAGCTTTAGGGGGACAAGGGCAAAGTTTCTCCTCTGTGCCCCCTTCTCCGTGGACCACGATGATTCTTCTTCTTTCGTGGGAAACTGTAAAGCACATTGCACAATACCATTGGTGCCTGTCTCATTTCTGAAGAAGAGCAATTAGCAGGCTTAGCAGTAACCACTCTACTGGAGCTACAGGGTGAGCTAGGAGTGTTGGACCAAGCAGTACAGGGTTCTCCTTTTGCTGTAGAAGGGAGAGGATCCAGCTACTTACAGGAGCTTGATGGGTATGCCAGGAGTAGTGAATGTGTGTGGTATTATGCATTACTGCAGAAAAGGAGGTAAAAGGATAGCACACTCTGTTCTTGTTGTCAGAGCCATCTGTCAAAAGGCCGGCTTAGTTCAGAATGCAGAAGGACTCCATGCACAGTTCTTGGGGTCAGCACAGGGGTGTATCTCTCTGCTTTGTCCAATCTTTGCTCCAGTACAAGGATCTTGTGTCTCTTTCAATTCCCACTGCTTGCTCATTTTGCTTGGAGAGTTGGCAAAAGTTGAAGCACAAGATCCTTGGCCTTCTCCAGCAACCCCCTTTCCTTCCGCAGCTCAGCCAGTTTTTCCACTTAAGCGCTGCAGAGCTCTCCCCACCCTCCTGAGAGTACTCCCCTGGGAAGGGGCAGGGAAGCTGTCATGCCTGGACAGGTTCTGACTGCTATCACAGGACAGGTTCATTCTGCATCTGTGCTTTTCTCCCACTCCGCCCAACTACAGCTGCAGCCGGAAGTATCTTTTGTAGGATCACTAAGGACAGGGGAGGTCTCCCAGGAGAGGAAGGGAAGAAGGGAGAACCTAGAAGGGGTAGGGAGAGTCAACCTCATGTCCAGAGCAGTTTCTTACTGGAAGATCAGAGAAGAAGGTGAGTGTAGGTTGCCTGTTGGTGGTCATCTTGGGACCCGCTTTCCAAGGGAAAGACCAGGAACTGTGCAAAAGACTGGGAGCAATCTTCGTCAGGATAAAGGTTGACATCAGGACTTCTACTTTGTTGTTTGGAAGATGAAGGGCTTATCCTGGAAATATGAAAAGGGGACGAGGGCAGAGGATACAGACTTCCTGGCAGAGTCCTTTCATTCTGATTTTTGCCTTTAGCAGGAACAGAAAAAAGGGAAAGCTGAGCTATGACCCTATCCCCATAACAGGCAGGAGAGCTTGACCTCTGCTGCAGGACAGGAAGCAGGGGAAAGCCAGAAGTGCCAGTTCTGAACTAGTTCCCTCTCAATCTCTGGGTGGATATCCAAGCACATAAACCTCTACTGGGTTTAAGAGTTTAATGGCTCAGCTGTCCCATGTTCATAGAAAAACTGTGCCTGCCCACAGGGGTAAGTCTCACCTTATCAACGTAATCCAAACTTTGCTGCTGACAAACCCAGCTCTCTGTCATTAGCTTCCTCAAGTTAAGTAATTTATTGTGATGCCAGCTGCCATCTCGTTTCTGGATGGGCTCTAACAGTGAGTGAGCAGTTGCTCTCACCAAACTCTCCATTAGCTCAGCTCTGGTGTCTGAAGGCTGCCCAGGGCTTGCTGGCAGTCTCCAGATGAACACCGGTAGGCATAAGGAATGAAGGGAGGGCCAACCATTTTCTTTACCCTCTGATGCCTGGGGAAAGCAGTGCTGAACAGGCTCTTTCCCAAGCCTGTTTTTCCCATCTTGTTGCCTTGGAGGAGGAGGTGGGCCTGAGGCGGCTCCCAAGGGCTGGGGAATCAAAGTGCCTAGGGCGAGAGCAGGGCCCAGCTGCTGCGGAGACTGCTGACTTGTGCATCTCCGCGGGAGCGCCGCGCCTCGCGCACGCCTGGGTGAGCTGAGGCCACGGGCGTCTTTCCCTTGTGCCTAACGAGTCTCGCTGCAGCTCCGCAGGGCGGGACCCGGCGGCGCGGTCGGG